CTTCTCCAAACTAACAAATTTCTCTCTAACTTCTCCAAACTACATAAAAGCTGTCCAAACTATCCAAACTCTCAACTGACCGTAAATCTCCAGCAACAACCCACATTTTGAATGGAGCCTGAATGGTTTATATTGCTGTCAAACCTCCCGGCAAAATCTGAACCATTTACTGAAGCAGTCACGTGGTACAGCCGGGCTAAAAGGCTTCTGACGTCATTATTTTTGGCTACATAGGCTGCAGACATCAGCTGAAGTGTCTCTGATGTCTCTGATGTTTAGCTCAGGACTCTCTCGATGACGACAGACAAAGTTGTAAAAAGTAACACATGTTGTCAAAGTGCGCGCGTGTTTCCTCTCGTGAGTTTGTGTGAAGGACAGAAGCGTGTTTGTCTCACTCTGCTGTCTCTGTCTTCGGGACATTAAACGGACGGATCGCTCTTGAAGCGGACATGGCAGCATGACGTAGCGCGGCAGATCACTGATGACGTCACACTGATGCTGATGAATCAGTCATCAATATTACTTGTAGATATTATCTTATTGCAGATATATTGGTGTTTACATGTTGTCTGATGAGTGAGAAGAAAGACAAGTGAAGAAATGTCAAACTCAGTCTGAGCTCATTAATAAACCGGAAGAGCAGAAGTTGATTTTAAACTCTTAGTTTGTATCTCGTTTACTAAAAACAACAATTTATCAATCTGAATCCAGTGAGTTTAGGTCATGTGTTTATATTAAAAATACTATCAGCTGAAATATTTAATATTCAGACTATATTAATCAGAATCAGCCTCAAACGTCCAGCATCTCTCTGCAGTATTTGATTTATTAACATTTTAGTGACCAGTGCTGAAATAAAAACTCATGAATATGAATTCAGACACAGAGGACATGAAGATTGTGAAACATTTATCAAAACACTCAGACATTTTACTGTGCTGATAATTTTAAATAATAATCTAATCTTCTTGGATTCTATTCATCCACCTGATACCGATAGAAACTAAAATAGTGTAGTGACAGATTTTCATGCATATACATTTGGTTCCTCGCTGTGCGTTTTTGATAGCATCATTACCTGTATCAATTGCACCTGTATCAACTGAGATTGGCTCCCAGTACCATGTTGTACACAAATATCACATATGGCTCCTGCACACCGGCCCCTAATTGGGAAAAGTATGCACAATTATATTATTTAAAAAATAAACAAATTAAAAATAAAATGTCCCTCTTTCTTCGTCAGGTGTTACCAACACGTGACCCAAGGTTTGGTCCTGACCTTTACACTGCTTCTTGCAGCAGAACATTCTTTGATATAGGCCGCTCCAACTGTCCTGTCTTGGTATTTATTTCCATAACTCACGAGGAGCAGTTGGATCCATGACAATGACAATGTCCTATGATACCAAACTTCTTTGCGGCTTTGTCCACCTTTGTCGTACCTGCAGTAGCGGCAAGTACTTCCTTGTCCATTGTTTCCAGAACCGGTCTGACAGGAATCAGGAATCAGGAAACATTTATTGGCCAAAATATGTCAAACATACATGGAATTTGTCTTGGCTGTTAGTGCGCGACAGTAGACAGACAAGACAACAGTGCACAGGTAATAAAATAAGTGGAATGAAATGCTAATGCAATGGGTTAGTAAGAATAAGGCTAAGGCTATGGGTTAGTAAAAAAAACAAGGGAATAAAGTTAAACAAATTTTAAATATTAAAAAGTTAAAAAGAAAAGTTAAGCATAAAGTGCACTAACAAACAAGTAACAGACAAGAGACAAAGTGACAAGTGACAAAGTGATGAATTGCAGTTAAAGTGACATGTGCAGTATGAGGGGAGTGACCGGTGGAGTGTTATAGTCAGCAGTGGGGGACCGGGCTCTGTTGATGAGCCCGACTGCCGACGGGAAGAAACTGTTCGTGTGGCGGGAGGTCGTAGTCCTGATGGACCTCAGCCTCCTGCCAGATGGAAGGGGCACAAACAGTTTATGTCCGGGGTGGGAGGGGTCGGCCGCGATCTTTTTAGCTCGCTTCAGAGACCTGGAAGCGAACAAGTCCTCCAGGGACGGCAGATTGCAGCCGATCACCCTCTCTGCAGAGCGGATGACACGCTGCAGCCTGCCCTTGTCCTTGGCTGTGGCTGCAGCGTACCAGACGGTGATGGAGGAGCAGAGGATGGACTCGATGATGGCCGTGTAGAAGTGGACCATCATCGTCTTTGGCAGGTTGAGTTTCTTCAGCTGCCTCAGGAAGAACAACCTCTGCTGAGCCTTCTTGGTGATGGAGCTGATGTTCAGCTCCCACTTGAGGTCCTGGGTGATGATGGAGCCCAGGAAACGGAAGGAATCCACAATAGTGACGGGGGAGTCACACAGGGTGATGGGGGAGGTTGGGGCTCTGTTCCGCCGGAAATCCACAACCATCTCCACTGTCTTTAGAGAGTTGAGCTCCAGGTTGTTCTGGCTGCACCACGACACCAGATGGTCCCACCTGTAGGCGGACTCGTCCCCACCAGAGATTAGTCCAATGAGGGTGGTGTCATCCGCAAACTTCAGGAGCTTGACGGACTGGTGGCTGGAGGTGCAGCTGTTGGTGTACAGGGAGAAGAGCAGAGGGGAAAGAACGCAGCCTTGGGGGGAACCGGTGCTGATGGTCCGAGAGGCTGAGACATGTTTCCCCAGCTTCACGTGCTGCTTCCTGTCAGACAGGAAGTCTGTGATCCACTTGCAGGTGGAGTCGGGCACGTGCAGCTGGGAGAGTTTGTCCTGCAGCAGAGACGGGATGATAGTGTTAAAAGCAGAGCTGAAGTCCACAAACAGGATCCTGGCGTAGGTTCCTGGGGAGTCCAGATGCTGGAGGATGTAGTGGAGGGCCATGTTGACAGCATCGTCCACAGACCTGTTGGCTCTGTAGGCGAACTGCAGGGGGTCCAGGAGGGGGTCGGTGAGGGACTTCAGGTGGGACAGGACTAGCCGTTCAAAAGACTTCATGACTACAGAGGTCAGGGCGACGGGCCTGTAGTCCTGCGATCCTGGGCTTCTTGGGGACAGGGATGATGGTGGAGGCCTTGAAGCAGGCTGGTACGTGGCATGTCTCCAGGGAGGTGTTGAAGATGTCAGTGAACACCGGAGACAGCTGGTCAGCACAGTGCTTCAGGGAGTGAGGGGAAACGGAGTCCGGACCGGCTGCCTTACGGGGATTTAGTCTTCTAAAGAGCCGGTTAACGTCTCTCTCCAGAATAGAGAGGGTCGTTGCTGGTGGGGGAGGGGAAGGTGATAATGATGAAGAGGCGTGAGCACCTGATGGGCTGGGGGAGGGAGGGGAGGGGGACTGCAGCAGGTTGGTGGAGCTGTGGGGGATGGGATCAGGACATTGTCTTTCAAATCTGCAGTAGAACTCATTGAGCTCGTCTGCCAGGCGGAGGTCATTCATGGAGTGGGGGGTTTTTGGCTTGTAGTTGGTGAGGTGTTTGAGGCCTCTCCAAACCGAAGCAGAGTCACTTGCTGAGAACTGTTGTTGGAGTTTCTCAGAGTACAGTCGTTTAGCGTCTCTCACCGCCTTGCTAAACTTGTATTTTGCCTCTGTGTACAAGTCTTTGTCCCCACTCCTAAATGCCTGATCCTTCTGCAGGCGTAGTGTTCTGAGTTCCGCTGTGAACCAGGGTTTGTCGTTGTTGTAACTCACCCTGGTGCATGATGGTACACAGCTGTCCTCACAGAAGCCGATGTAGGAAGTTACAGCCTCTGTGAACTCATCCAGACTGTCAGTAGCAGTCCTGAAACCATCCCAGTCTGTGCAGTCAAAGCACGCCCGAAGATCCTCCAGCGCCTCACTGGTCCACTTCTTGAATTCCCTCACCACAGGTTTGCAGAGCTTTAGTTTCTGCCTGTATGCAGGAATCAGATGGACCATGACGTGGTCAGAGTGTCCCAGTGCAGCACGAGGGACGGCGTGATAAGCCCTGCTGACTGTGGTGTAACAGTGATCCAGCGTGTTCTCCTCTCTGGTGGGGCATTTAATAAACTGTCTGTATTTAGGGAGTTCATGGGTGAGATTTCCTTTGTTAAAGTCCCCGAGGACAATAACTAAGGAGTCCGGGTTGGTCCGCTCCACACGCCGTATCTGGTCGGCGAGTGTCCGCTGTGCCTCGTGCACGTTGCCCGCCGGCGGCATGTAAACACCGACCAGGATGAATGAAGCGACAGGTACTGAACTAGAGGCACTGAGTGAGAGCTTCCAAGTCATTGACGTCATCAGAAACCTTAGTTATGGGGAGGTCATTATGTTTGAAGCACAGAAAACATTAGTTTCCTGACCATTCTAATGAGTCGCTCCCAAACGCTGCAATGGTGGAAAGCAGCTTGGGGGTTAAAAGTTCAGTCAATACTCCTGAGTCGGTATTCAGAGAGCAGGCAATCTCTCGATGTACGGCTCTGCCAGCCATGAAGGTAAAAATGACGAGTTTAAGACAGTTTCTTAAATATAATGCTGTGTCAATCTGTTCAAACTTTAGTTTTTCACAAAGATATTTTATAGTTAAACTTGAATATAGAGATACACAAGAAACTGGTCAGATTAGTTTGTTGTTTGTAAATGGTTGAATAAAAAAAAGAATCCTTCTACTCAAACAACTTTAAATTTAAAAAAAAATGAATGAATGAATGAATTTTTATTTCAATATAAAAAATGTAAACAGCAATTAAAAGATCAAATAAATTACGTTTAAACTCGTTTGTGCTTCCACTTCACTTTAAGAAACTCAAAGTTCAAAGTTATTGTTTAAAACCTCACAAGAAGAAACGTCTGTTTTTAAAAGCTGAATCATCATAAATATCAAAGTAAACATTTATTTCTGTATTTATTGAGTTGTTAAACACATGTTATCAGGGTGTCTTTGATGTTCTGTGTTTCTTTTTATTCTGTGTGCAGGAAAACAACATAATTATTGATTAATTAAAGTGTGACATCAGAACTGATGATGATTCCTTTTTGGTTCCAGTGACTCACTCGCTGAAGTATTTCTACACTGGATCCTCTGGACTCCCAAACTTCCCAGAGTTTGTGATTGTTGGGCTGGTGGATGAAGTTGAGGTTGTTCACTATGACAGTGACACCTGGAGACTAGAACCCAGACAGGATTGGGTGAGCAGAGTCACAGAGGACGATCATTGGTTCTGGAACTGGCAGACTGGGCTCGCTATGAACGCCCAGCGGGAATTTAAAGGCTACATTAAAACAGCAAAACAACGCTTCAACCAAACTGGAGGTTTGTTTGTTTCACACATTTTGTTTATATTTGCATCCCTTTATGTTATGTTATGAAACATTTTCTGCTTCCAGTTCCTAAATATAAGTATATAAACACAATGAATACTTTTCCGTGTTGTTCAGGATGAAGAAGATTTCCTCTCATCCTGATTAGAACTCCAGCTTAGATTAGATGAGCTTTACTTGAGCTCAGGGAGTCGATGCTTCAGTATTTCATTCCAGGTTTTATCAGATGACGTCCAACATGTTCTAGTTGAGGTTCCTCACTGAGACGACTTCTTCCTCTTGTCTGTTTGAAATGGTGATGAATGAAATACTGCTCAGTGTTGTTCACACTGAAGAAGCACTTCCAAGGTTTCATCAGCCTCTCTGACATTTTACCGTGTGAACAATTCATGGATTCATTAGAAATAGTTATCACATCATCTGCAAAGACAAGAATAATTAGTTTGAGCCCAAAATCTGGAGTATGATACAGATGAGAGTTAATGAACTAAAGTGGACTGCAGTGAGTTTAGAACAAACATTCAGGATATTTAGTGTTGAAACATTGAATCAATTAGTTGATGAACAGAAAATGAATCAACATGAATGTTGATAATCAGATGATGACTGAAGTCTTTTATCAAGCAAATATGTTTCTCTCTCACTCTCACTCTCTCTCTCTCTCAGGTGTCCACATTGTCCAGAACATGTACGGCTGTGAATGGGATGATGAGACCAATGAGGTCAAGGGTTATGATCAGTATGGTTATAATGGAGAAGACTTCATATCATTTGACCTGCAGACAGAGCGATATATAGCTGCAAAACAGCAGGCTTCCATCATCAAACAGAAGTGGAATCAGAACAGAGCTCTGATAGCAGGGAAGAAGAACTTCCTGACTCATGAGTGTCCTGAGGGGCTGAAGAAGTTCTTGAGCTACGGGAGGAGCTCTCTGATGAGAACCGGTAGGATCACATGACCTGATGTCCTTCCATGGACACGATGCTCATAAACCTTCTGTTGTTTCATAGCAACATGTCAGAGACACACAGAGACCCACTGTGTCTCCCACATTTCTCCCCCCTCACCTCCTTCTCTCCTTCACTGCACTCCCTCCCTCACTCCCCCCCTCACACCTGTCCCCACTCTGTCCCTCCATCCTCTCTTTGTCTCTGCTGTGTTTCTGTCTGTCTCACTGTCTCTTTACTCTCTCTCACACACTGTCCTCCTCCCCTTCCAATCCGTCTCCCCCCTCTTCATCTGTTTGTCTCCCTTCTTTAATCAATGAAACTTTAAAGACATTTCATTCTTTTAGTAAACTTAAATACACATAGTTGAGTGTTAAAGAGGCATTTTAAATACATCAAAGATGAATGATATTAATACACTAAATATCAGTGATAATAATAAAGATGTAACCTGTCCCTCTCTTCTGTCTCCAGAGCGTCCCTCGGTGTCTCTCCTCCAGAAGACTCCCTCCTCTCCAGTCAGCTGCCACGCTACAGGTTTCTACCCCCACAGAGCCGCCCTCTTCTGGAGGAAAGATGGAGAGGAGCTCCATGAGGACGTGGACCTCGGAGAGATCCTCCCCAACCACGACGGGACCTTCCAGATGAGGGTTGACCTGAAACTGTCCTCCGTCCCTGCTGAAGACTGGAGGAGGTACGACTGTGTGTTCCAGCTGTCTGGTGTGGACGAGGACATCGTCACCAAACTGGACAAGACCAGGACCAACAGGGGTAGGTCTGAGACCCGGAGCGGTGAAGGAGGGAAGCAAACATCCACTTTGTTCACTTTGTGTGTTTTAGATTTGGGAAGTTTTGTTTTCTTACATTTCTAGTCTAGTTTTTATTTGTAGTCATTTTAAGACTCTGATCAGAATTAAACACAACGAGAGTTATGAACACTGTTTACTGGTCTACATTAATATATAAATGTGTCAATATTTGGTTCATTTCTCTGTAAATAAGTTTATTCATCCTTTTGTAAACTCATTCCAGGTAAGAGCTTTATTTGAGTCCGTGCTGAACTATTGTAACGTGTCACCACAATCCAGACGTTGTAGAATCAGCATTCACACAACTACTGGTCACTTAAAGATGAGTAGACAGAATGATTAAACACGTGTATTAATACATGTATCCATCAGTGAATCAGACAGAGCAAAGTTCAGGAAGGAGGTTGAATATGTGTCTCAGTCATTATGTGCAGACGGCATAAAGAAATGACGTCACATGGTGTGTGTGTTCAGGTCTGCTGGATAAGTGGATCTTCTTCTCTTCTGACCTGCTTCATCTGTTCAGCTTGAGACTCTTTGATTGTTTTGTGCTCCACAGAGAAGCCTGCTGACTCCACCTTCATCATCATCATCATCATCATCGCTGTGGCTGTTCTTGTCGTCATCATCGCTGCTGTGGTTGGATTCAAGGTTCACAGAAAGAGGAACGGTGAGAGAGACGATCAGAGACACAGTGTTGAGGAGCATTTGATTTTAGGCTTTGAGTTGATGCTTTTATCCAGAATGAGACACTGAAGCAACTTTCACCAGTCACACTTATAAAACCATATTTGCTTTTATTCTGCATTTATTGTTTAGTGCCATTTTACTTTTAGACAATTCTGTGAATGTTTTGCACTTGAGACACTTAAACGTAGTTAGTTGTTTCTTCAGGCTGTTGTTGAAAGTCATTTTAGCTTTTAGAGGAAGAAATAGGTTAAAAAACTGAGATTGTATCTGCTGGGAGGAAGCTGTTAGAACACTAAACACTGAAATTCTCTTTGCTTTTTATTTCAGCCCAACGCTCTTCAGCCAAACCCTCTTCTTCTTCTTCTGCTTCTACTGACGGCTCTGAGGTCACTGAGGAACTGAACCCTAAACCTTGAAGTCGGCGTCCTGCACACAGTGAGTAGCTCCACGTGGACATGAACTATTCACAGCTGCTGTTCCACAAAGCTGCCCTCAGTATGAGCACAAGGAGCTTCTCATGTAAAGAAGTCTTTGACTTTTTCTACAACAAAGGTGCAGTTTGGTTCCGTGAGACGTGAGATTATTAAGAGAAAGACACAGAAAGCTTCACATCAGCTCCTCAGATAAAGTCTGATATTCAAAGCTCTTACATTAACTTCTAGGAACTCACTAACACATGTTCATCAAAATGGAGTCAAAGTAGTTTGTGGTAAATGATTTAGTTTTCTTTTTTATGTATTTGTTTCTCTCTTTAGGTTTATGGGTGAATATTGCTCTGGATCAACAAGCGATGCTCCACATTCTTCTCCATAAACTGTCAATTTATGGCTCATCTTTCATTTAAACGTCTGAATCAGGGTTGGTGAACATCTGGAAACTGTGAGGAAACATCAATAGTCACATTTAATTATTTGGGTAGTTTGTTTTTAATAAAAAGGTTGAAATGAAATAAAACAAGGATGATTATTTTAGGAGACGTTCAAATCAATGAAAGCATCAAAGTGCTCACAGACTAGTGTGTTCATCTCAAACAAATCCACCATATTTACTCTTTGATACTTCTGCTGTTTGGGTTGAATCATTGTTGCTAACAAACGTGTAAATACACACACACACACACACAAAATATAGACATTTATTTTCTAGTTGTGTAAATAGTTTGCTTGTATTTTTCTTTGCAGTAGATTGAATTTAACTGGTTGAAGAAAATAATAATTTCAGGGTTTTCTGAATAAATCAGTGTGTTTATTGGTTCACAACGTCTTTTGATCCGTTTTAAAGAATCATATCATTTATATTTGGGTTTGAATCATCCGAGCACACTGATTGAAATGCTATTGACTATTTCTTGCTGCTGTTTTGGATCAAGGGATGTTTTCCTTCTTGGTTTCGTGGGAGTTGAACAGTGATGCTCTGAATCACTTCTTGTTTTGTAGATGAAGGTGGAATGAAGTTGCTCCATTTCCCCTTTTTGTACCTTTGTCCTGCTGTTCAATAAATGCTCCAGATGTTTGTGTGTTGTTGTGATTCCATGTGCTTCCCCTCTGTGACTGCAGCCACAATCACATGCATGTTGTTTCCCTTTGGACTCTAAACGTCGTGTTCTTCACTTCACTGGTTTAAAGCATGCTGGGAGTTGCTGCAAATGGAAGACTCACATCGCCTGAGATCATTTTATCGTAACAAAATAACATTTGTAAATCCTGCGTCTTTTCAGCACATGTTGTGTTCGTAGTATCTACAATGATCTGAATATTGAGTGTTCTCTGTTGCCTCTGAGGATAAATGGACGAGTCTTTGACCTGCAGACGTCCAACAAAAGAGCAAGAAGAGTGAACATTTTAGGGGCAAAGCAGTGATTCTTCACAGATATCTGAAGAGGGTTTTACTTTCCATTAAACAATAAAACATGAGACGCATTGATTAAGACTGTCCTAATCAACGCGTGTGTAAAATCATTGAACAGGACATTTATTAAAGAACACTAGCAAGTAGGAGCAGAGTTGAAACAAGTTGTGTGTTGAGTTGCTGCTCGGAGGTCTGCGTCTCAGCCCTCTGAATTATATACTTGAGACGACACACACACGTTATGCTTGAAGGTGGAAGGTCTGCGTCTTAGTCTCCCAAGTCATGACATGTACACATGAGACATGCGTCAAGGCTTCTCCAAGGTCTGCGTCTCCGTCTAGTTGAGATAACTAATCAATAGTAGAGTTGCAGGATTTCAAATTCAAACTTAGTGTGCAGTTCGAGCATACATACATTTTTTAATGTGTGTCTTTGAGCATCAACATCAGAAATCTTGAACAACATGATTACAACACTGTGGTGGCGGGCGTGAGTTGGCTCAGCTGCAGAGGGGACGGAGAGGGGAGGAGACATAATTGGCCTCAGGTGGAATTTATCAGTGTGTGTTCTGCCTTCAGTAGGGGAGATCCGGCGACATCGAGGAGGACTGAGCGAGGCGAAGAGGCTGGAGCCGGATGTGTGTTGTATTAAAACAGTAAATAAAGACTGAATATTGAAACTCTCCTGGATTCCTCACAGACCCACGTTACAAACACCAAATGACGTGTTCAATCAGGGATTTGTGGCCTGATTATGAAATTGTAAACGTGTCCATTTCAAAGACATAAAAACTACATTATCGGCAGTGATAGTTGTCTTCTACTTATTTTGAAGTCGTTCAAAAGCGACTTAGAAGAAGACAGCCAGTAGGAGCTGTGGCTCAGTTGGTAGAGATCGTCCTCTAATCATGAGGCGGGTGCTTTGATCTCCTATTGTCAGCATGTCCAACCCCCAAAATGCATACATGTATTGTAGGAGCCGCATTTAAGTTTATGTCTATGTATTAAAACAACTTATTTTTGTTCTTTTTATTTGTGTTAAAAGCAAAGTGTGCCCCCTACAAGAGAGGCGGGCGCTCCTAGTTGGTGCGAATGGCGCATCGTTGGGGGAGAAACGGGTTACGGCAGATACCGACTCCAGAGGAATGTGGCACAGCGAGGCGGGCAAGAAGCTTCAGGCAGAGATATAAGTTGTGTTTGTCATAAAATGCACATCGTGGCAGAACTGTGTGTCACACACTAGACACCAAGACGAAACCCAGCGGCCTCATCAGGTGATTCCCAGAAGCGGCACAGAGGGAAGAGCTGTTCGTGTCCAGCAGAGGCGCTCTGGGACTGGTCCCGACTCCTGAAGGAGGTGCAGCCATAAAGGCCTCATGAACTGCCAGAGACAGAAAGTGGGAGAAGAAATCGGGTTGCATTCTGGGAAGATTTGTTGTGATTCTCTGCTTCTGTCTCTTCTAGAGAATAGAAAACCTTTTATATTTTCCTTTTTTACCTCCATGTGATAAAATTATAAGTTGTGTGTGTGTTTTACGGCGAGGGAGGCATGTGGCTCAGTGGCAACTCAAACTAGCATGTTATAGGTTTTATTTGATGTGTATCTCAGTCTAAGAGCTTTTCAAAACACTAAAGCGACGTGTCTTTCACAGCTTTGCTACATTTTATTCCTTGTAACAAACGAACGATCTCCTATTAAATGATGACTGAAGACAAAGCAGTGAGACTTCTGCTCAGTGAAGTTTAGGTTCCTTCTTTTGCTGTGAACAACATTTAATTTGCAGACAAAGCTAAGAAACACAAGTAATTCAAACAGTGAAAACGGTAAAACCATCGGACAGTAATTCACTACACAAAACGGAGAAAATCACGTAATTCAGACGTGAGAAACTTCACTGAGAAATGCTCTGATTAGATAATCAGATTACAGCAAGGATCATGTCTTGTCTCCCTTTAATGGGGTTTAATCACTTCTCTTTGCTGTATTTCAGTACCATGAAACACAGCAAGCACGACTGATAACAGCAGCTTGTAGTCTGACTTTCAGTCAGAACAACTGATAACGTTCTCAGTCAAACAAAGATCCTTCGTCGTATATGATTGTGATATTTTACTGTGCACTCACTCTGAGCGGTCTGATGTAAATAACAGCAGCATTAGTCTCAGGTTTTATAATAATGTTACACATGTGTAGGGTTGGAGGTCACAGACGGAAGATGCCATCAGGACCACATCATCTGCAAAAAGCAGCGATGAGATCCGCAGCCCCCCGAACTGTAGACCCTCCTCCCCCCGACTACGCCTCGATATCCTGTCCATGAAGACCACAAACAAGATTGGTGACAAGGCGCAGCCCTGGCGAAGGCCAACCCCCACCGGAAACGCCTTCGACTTACTGCCGAGCACCCGAACACAGCTCTCGCTT